GTTAGAATTATGTGAGTGGATGAATAGTGAATTAAAGTTGATGTGATATGTAATAATCATTTGTTGATGTTATTTAATTATATAATAATATTGGAGATAGTGGGGTTGAGTTAAAGTTGAGTTAAATTTGAATTTGAGTAAAAAAAATTACTGTAGGGATGATAAACAACCATGCCCTTAATTACCGAGGTAAGGGATACGTAGGCAACTTAATTGATATATTACAAGTTAGAATATCATTTTGTAACCTATAAAATTCTTCAATTTAATGCATATTTTACTTTATAACATGTCAACTAAGCCTAAGTCCAACTTCTCCCCTCTCAAATTCTTTTAAATAGAAATCAACCTGAGCCAAAACCAAAACTAGTTGAAGCGAATCAGAACCGGTCTAATCGGCTCAAAACCGGGTTGAACTGGACCCAAACTGTTCGGTTCGATGATCCGGCCCCTTCCTACATCCGGGCCGATTCCAAGTCAGTGTTATCAAGTCGGGCAACCCGTCAGCCCTGCCTGCCAAATGGTCATGTCTAACCTTAGATACCCAAATTTGTTCGACCCATGCTTGTATTCCAAACCATGGTATTTTTTTTTTTTTTTTATTAAACACACCCTCTCTATAACCTAGTGTGTCATCGATTATATTCAAGTATTCAAACCCAAAATGCATGTAAACCTACTCGATGTATGTTTTCATTAAGATTATTTTTAAGTATGTTTTTTACCCTTAATTCAGCCATATTTTTTTAACACTTATGCTACACTTTCGAAATGTTCTACTTCAAAAATACTAGAGTAAATATACAATTTTATAAGATAACTATGTATTAGAGTAAATATACAATTTTAATATTTCTTTATTATATGTACTTAAAAAATAAATTTTAAAAAAAAAAAATATTATGTTTTACATAATTTTGTTAAAATAAAAGGAAATTTAGAGACTTAAATTGAAAAGTATAATGTAAAAGTAGGTCTTATATTAAAAATAATTTAAAAATAAAATCCTCAAGTGAAAATGTTAAAAATATAGGCCCTAGTATGACACAATACCTAAAATGAAGCCCTATAATAGAATTTCCCCCAATTCAGCCATATTTTTTAACACTTATGCTACACTTCCGAAATGTTCTACTTCAAAAATACTAGAGTAAATATACAAGTTTATAAGATAACTATGTATTAGAAAAAATGACAGACCAATTCATTTATGCATTAATCCGTGTGTTCTAACTTCTAATTAACTTATAGTGTCATCGGTTAATGATACTGTCATTCGTTTATTTATGTGTTTATTTTATTTGTCTATTTCGTGAGCTACAAATCAACAACTGATTAATTATTACTCAATGGGACGCTGGCACTTGATGTTTCAAGTAATTGCACATATTTATATTTTCATGATACTATCATTGAATAATGACTATCAATATTCTAATGAATGGATACTTGAACCCACACCATACATCGAGAAATTCAATTCTACTGTGTCAATACATTTTCACTGTCACGGTAGATTCGATCTTACCCGGATGGTGGTTCGATCCGACGATTAAAATCCTTACGGGACACCGCCTACGATAGGATGAAATTTACCGACGTAAAAATAAGGGAACTATCAGTTAATCCACTACAGAAATCTTGTATTGTCATAATCAACTCAAACTGCATTTGTCATTCATGATAAACCTTTTTCCCCACTGCACATCATAGCATCCATAAAAACACCTCCAAGGTGCCCGCATTGTACATTTCGTCGAACTAGGAACCGTATTAGAGGAAAAAGCTATTGATCATCAAGAAGGTCCGTGTGGATTCACTTAGAAATTAGAATAACTTATTATGTCCAGCCATGAAAGTCTCTTTAACTTTATTTTGTCACACAACTACGCAAGAAACAAAAA